ATTTTGGTAAAATCAATTTACAAATGAATTTTCCTCAAATTTCAAAGGTATTTGTATTTATCAAGGTTTTTATGTATGATAAAAATATTATTTTGACGGTGAAATTATATAGTTTGATTCAGTATCGTGCAAACTTTTGGATGCGATTGTTAGCGGTGTCAGCCACATATAAATTCAATTGATTGTCTAATATCAGTCCAAAGGAAGCATTTAATTGACTAGCACTTATACCAGGTGAACCAGTAACGCCTGCGATCGTTATGCCTGCCGAATGCCCAACTAAAAAACATTGAATCCGATGGTTTCCTGAATCAGCTACATAAATATTTCCATATTGATCTAATGTTACACCTACCGGTTGATAGAGTAGTGTTGCTGAACTACCACTTGTTCCACTAGCACTGCCGGCAATAAGAGTCCAACTATTATCACCTAATATCCAACGAACTACAGTATGAGCAGCATAATTGCAAATTATTAAACTATTCGTAGATAAATCTAAAGCCATTCCATATGGTTTCGATAACTGAGTGTTGCTTAATCCTTGTCCATTTCCACCTGCAACTACAGTGCCTGATGAAGCATTCAATAAATATTTCATTATACGATGATTCATTGTGTCAGCGATGTACAATATATTCGTGCTTGAAACATATTCAATCATAGAAGGATTTTCAAATTCATTGTTTGCACTTCCATATGAGCCTAGAAATAATTTAAATGAAAAACGTTTTATGAAACTTTTCTTCAGCTGGTATATATGTTATGATCCAAACATAAATTACGATTCATTTTGGAGAATCTTTTGTTCATTCATCTCAAATCATAATAAAAAATTTGTTTTCTGATGTATTTATTTAACTTTTACAATTTTATAACCTTGAAGATTTCTCAACATTCCTAAATTAAGTTTTAGTAATTATTCTGTATACAATAATAATATTAATTTAATATTTTTATAACCTGTTCCAGCGATCGTCGAACCAGATGATGCACCATTTGCCCAGAACATAACCCGACAATTGCCTCTATCGGAAAAATACATATTGTCATTCGAATCAAGTACAAGACCAACTGGTCCATTCAAAATAGTGGGAGATTGTCCAGCGACAGTTGAACCATTTGAGGCACCTGCCATCCATTTTTGGATCCGATTGTTATTATAATCAGTAATATAAAGAGCATTTGATAAATCAAATTTCAATCCATATGGGAAATTTAATCGATCTGCTGTTACACCCAATGAACCTGCAGCATCACCGGCTACCGTCTTACCGGTTGAATTCCATTGTGCTGCAAAAGGTGTGAAAACGAAAAGAAGAATTTAGAATATAGGTAAACAAAACTCATGTATCATTAAAAAAAGATTAGTTGAATATTTTAAAGCTATGAGTGAAAACGATAATCTAGTATATGTTTCAAATGGCAAATATA